GGCTGGTCTTGAACTTGTGAGCTCAGGCCATGTGCTCGCCTTGGCCTCCCAGAGTGTAAAGCCATGTAGTCTTATGTATTGATATGAGTCTAGCTTAGATCTTATGTCTTAGAATAAGTAAAATTTCTTATTTAGATCAGGTATATAGATTGTGGACCTAATAATTTTAGTTTAAATATATTAAAGTAAAGTAGTCTTTTATTATTTAAGTGATCAAGTGTAAAATTTGTGTCTCTATCACAGCCAGAGAGGTTTGTTAACCTTGGTATTGAGCCTCCCAAGGGTGTGCTGCTCTTTGGTCCACCGGGCACAGGCAAGACACTCTGTGCTCGAGCAGTTGCTAATAGGACTGATGCTTGCTTCATTCGCGTTATTGGATCCGAACTTGTACAGAAATATGTTGGTGAGGTAAAGTAAATTTATTAAAATCAAAGAGTATGTAGCTCTGTGAAATATTTGTAAAGTATAAATGAAACTTAAAAAGTATAAATGAAATTAAATTCTATATTGAAGGATTGAGACCTGAAATATCTTGAGTGATTGATTTTAATTAGAAGCCCAGAAACCACCAGCCGCCCCTTGTGGTCATTTGGAAATAAGCAGCCACTTAAAAATTCAGTATGTTCCCTACTCAGGAAAATGACATTTTCTGCACTTGTGGTTTCTACAGAAATGTGCAGGGAATGAATTAAAAAGTATATTCTCCCCTCAGGAGCAATGTTTTATGTTCAATTTGAGAAAGTAAGAATATACATTGTCTATATATGCGTGGGTGTATATACACACACACATACACTTACAAATGCATGTATATTTAGGAAATAAGGCTAGGATTAGTTCTGTATATGTTGTATCTGAAATATACTAATGATTAGTATACTTACAATAAGAATTAGAAAAGGAGCTGCATGAATTAAGATGTACTTTCATTTCCTAACCGGAATTTGCAAATCAAATTCAATAGTCAGGAATTCTAAGTAAAAGATCTGATGCTTTTATTCAAGTTTTACTGATTAGAATAGTGCTTTTATTTTATTTAGCTATTATTTTGACCTCTTCAGGTCATAAACTTATTGCTTAACTTAATAGATAGGGAATTATGAAAATTGCTTAAGATTGTTTTAAGCCTAGTAAAATTAATTTGATGGAATAGGGTGCAAACTTGAGAAGTTTTTAAAAAGTTCATGTGATAATGAGTGAAAATACTATTGGAATAAATATTGAAAAAATCGAAGCATAGCATTTTATTATATTTTAACAGCTTTTAATACCAACTTTGAATTAATGGATTATTTTTCTCATTAGGGGGCTCGAATGGTTCGTGAGCTCTTTGAAATGGCCAGAACAAAAAAAGCCTGCCTTATCTTCTTTGACGAAATTGATGCTATTGGAGGTATGAATGATATTTTAGACAACTACTTTAGGTTTGGGTTTCATAAGAATTATAAAGTGATATGTGTTAGAGTTCCTATATGTTATCTTTTTTTTTCTATATGTTAATCTCATGCAAAATTTTAATTGCAACTCTTATGAGCTTTGACACATTGAAACTACCCATCTAATAAACAGCAGAGCTAAACGCTAAAGGAAAAAAAGAAATCTTTGATACTGTTGTCATTTTTGAAATTTTTATCTTTGTGCTATAGGCTGAGTATCCCTTATTCAAAATGGTTGGGGTTTTAGTTTGGGATTTTGTTTTTTGGATTTTAAAATACTTGCATTACACTGGTCGAGCAGTCAAAATCTGAAGGTCCAAATCCAAAAAACTCCAGTAAACATTTCCTTTGGGCTTCATGTTAGCACTCAAAAAGTTTTAAATTTTGGAGCATTTTGGATTTTAGATTTGGTATGCTAAACTTGTATCTAATTTTATTTATCCAACACATATTTCTACACTTAAATGACTCCTAAATTGATATACATTGTCTTTTATTTATTTATTTTATTTTATTATTATTTTTGGGGTTGCAGTTTGGCTGGGGCTGGGTTTGAACCCGCCACCCACAGTATATGGGGCCAGCGCCCTACTCACTGAGCCACAGGCGCCGCCCGATACATTGTCTTTTAATGTGATAAGAAAGCACTGGGGCATAATTTAATTGGTGGTGAGTATTCTTAGTGCATGTAAAATAATGTTCTTATTGCTTCATGGATTTGATGATAGTATTTGCAGTGCAATCTAGACAGGTTATTTTAACTAACCTCTGTTCATCTTACACAGGGATAATTCCTCTCTTGTTTTATTTCATGAGTTTTTGAGAAATTTAAGTTAAGTTAAGTAATAAATGTAGTAGACTTTGAAAACACAACCTGTCCAATAGCCATTGGCTATTGTTATAGTCTAGAATAGTAATAACCTCTAGTAGCCCATAATTTGGCCGCGATATAATGATGCAGTGTTGCGACACTGAAGTCATTTTTATAGTATCACTGAAATATGCCTTATGATGTCAGGGTGCTCTGGAGCTGTGGTTTCTAAGTTGGTCATGTATAAGATAGTCTTAAGATGCAAGAAGAAAATACCAGAATTTCTTTGGTTTTTTAATCTCCTTTTTAAAACTTCATTTTATATTTGTTTTATAATATAAACAGTATATTAATTCCACAATGTTCATTTATATAACTTTAAAATGCAAAAATATATTTGGAGGCTATGAGTTGTTTTTTTTGTTTTGTTTTGTTTTTGTTTTTTCCTTTAGCTGTTCTGATTGAAATTAGAGACTAACATGAACCTAGAATACCTTAGTGTATCCAAATCAGCTTAATAGTAAGCTGGTAGGGTTCTGTGTATTGCGAATTTAGTCTTTATTTAGCATTTCCACACACAACATTGATGGATTTAGCCATATTTTAAAGGGCAGTTTGGGGTAGTTTATAATGTTATGATACGTTTCCTACATACAATCAAATATCATTATAGTGCTGAAGTTTTCATGTTACTCTTGTTAGCTCATGCAGGTGTATATTGTATCAAAAGAGGTGTTCTTAAGTGATTTGAAAAACAGAATTCTGTATAAAGATTTTTTTTTTTTTTGAGGCAGAGCCTCAGGTTGTCTCCCTGGATAGAGTGCTGTGGCATCACAGCTCACAGCAACCTCCAACTCCTGGGCT